GGGGGGGGGGGGGGGACCACACACAAAATTTTACCATTATGTACTAAGTGCTACAAGGAAAAAACGGCACATGGTATTGCTAGAATATGCAGATGACCTTCCTTTCAGGATGGACAGAGATGCTTCCCCAAGGTAGAGACGGGCCAGTGCCTGAAGGATGGGCAGGAACTGGCCTGCATTACTGGAAGCTTTTCATAGCTGGAGTCAGTCAGGACAGTGAAGATGATCAGGAGACTGTTGTTGGCATTTGTTACTAATGACAGATAGTAACAACAGCTAACATTTACTGGGTGCTTTGTGTGCACTACCCCAGCTCAATATTCATAACAACCCTCTGGGGTAGGCACAAGCGTCCCTTTCACAGGTGTGGAAACTGAGGCTCAAGGAGACCAGTAGTCAGTGGCAAGGCCATGATTGACTCCCAGGCCTGCTGGGCCCCTAGGCCTGTGCACTTAACACCCTCAGCTGCCTCCCATGAGGGAGTTTCAGGGTCCAGCCCAAAGGATATTCTGTGCTCCCACCTCCAAGCCAGCTGGCTTCCAGCCTCTCCCTGTCCCCATCAGGCCTGGGACACCTTAAAAGCCCACGTCCTCGTGCTGTGAGAGAGCCTCACTCAGCTGGGAGAAGCTGGCACCATGTGGGAATAAAATACATTAACCAGGATGAAGTCATCCCACTTGGAGGAGAAGTGTTGGCACGTTCCTTTAAACTGACTCACTGTCTTTCAAGTAATTCATTTGGTTGTTAAAGGGAATCTTTTTTTTTTTTTTTTTTGAAAGGATTGAAAAACTGTTTTAAAACAGGATTATTTTGTCTTTGTCCCTGAATGGGTAGTACCATTTATCATTTGAACCCTGCATAAATGCCACTTGTTAACTCTGTAACCTTGGGCTAGTTACTTCTCTGAGTTTCAAGTAGGTTTTAAAATATTTACTCTGGGCCGGCCCGTGGCTCACTCGGGAGAGTGCGGTGCTGATAACACCAAGGCCCCAGGTTCGGATCCCATATAGGGATGGCCGGTTCGCTCACTGGCTGAGCGTGGTGCTGACAACACCAAGTCAAGGGTTAAGATCACCTTACCGGTCATCTTTAAAAAAAAAAAAAAGATAAAATATTTACTCTGAAGATTTGAGGAAAGATTAAGTAAGATAATGTATATAAAGTACCTGGTAAGTGCTAGGTGCCCAGTGAATAGTGGGTAAGTACTGTTAACTATAGAAATGTTAATTTCTAGAACAGTTGAGTGATCATGGCTATTTTCCAGATAACCTTACAAATCTCAGGTCAAAAGACAGACCTCTGTTATCTGATCTGGCCCTGGCAGCTGCTTTTCAAGTAGGAGCCTGTGGCTCAAAGATAGTGACTCTCAGAAGGAAGGAAGTCTGAGAAATTTAAAGGCCCTTGATTTTTTTCTCTGGGAACCACACCCAGCATAGGATTTGGCTCCTGGGGGACTGAGCCGCTCAAGGTCAAAGAGATACCCCAGTCTGTCCTTTAGAAACCAGCACCTCAACTCTTCCCAGTTCTACTATTAAATTTTGGCTTTCCCTCTGATCTCAGATGTATAATTCCTCACCCTTCACCTTGGGCTCTGCCATGCTCTCTTTGCGGACTTTGTAGGGATGTCCAAGCTTCCTTGCAGATATCCTGTCTCCAGCCTAGAGATCATTTCCCCATCCTCCAATCACACATATACCCCAAACTTTTTGTAATTAAAAAAAATTTTTTTGGGCCGGCCCCGTGGCACACTCAGGAGAGTGCGCTCCCGCCGCGGGTTCGGATCCTATATAGGGATGGCCGGTGCGCTTACTGGCTGAGCGCGGTGCGGATGACACCAAGCCAAGGGTTGCAATCCCCTTACCGGTCACAAAAAAGACAAAAAAAAAAAATTTTTTTTTTAAGCCTTCTCACATTGATAACCTTAGGGGATACTCTGTGGAATACGTGCAGTCTGTCGTTTAATCCTCACTACCCCAAATTGGGCTCATATACCAGACTCAACTTGTGTAACGAGCATTTTTGAAAGGAATTTTTCCCAATTATATCAGTTTGGTTTAGGTTTGACTGCAAGAAACCCCAAAATAATAGTGGCTTTTAAAATATAGAACTTTTTCTCTTTCATGTGTTAGAACTCCAGAGATAGTCCGGGGCTAATGTGACATTTTCACAAAATGGTGAAGGGCGTGTTTCCCTATCTGGCTTTCCTTCCATCCTTAGCACGTGGATTCTACCTCATAGTGTCCAGCTATCATGACTGCATTCCAGCCAGCAAGGAAGATGAGAGAGTAGGAAGTGTGCCTTCTCTATTTAAGGAGGCTTTTTAGGAGGCCTCACAAAACTTCCACTTCCATTTCATTGGCCAGAACTTGATCATGTGCCCAGCTAAAAAATTATTAAATCAGGAAGAACAGATATTGTGGGGGGACTAGATGTCTCTGCCATGCTGATATTTCAAAGAAGCTTTATTCCTTTCCAACCTATTTTTAAATTTTTTATCAGAAAAAAATTCAAACATTTGCAAAAAAGTAAATAGTGAGCAGAAAGAAAATAATGAGGATAAAAGAGAATAATGAAGCCCCAGCACTTAGCTTTCACAGTTATCTACTTGTGGCCAGTCTTGTTTCTTCTCTACCCCAACCTGCTTCCCCAGATTATTTGAAAACAAATCCCAGACATCTTGTCCTTCCACCCGCAGATACCTTTGCACATACCT